TATCAAGTTACTATTGTTATCTTTAAAATCACTCACGTGGCGAAGTTATCTTCTATGGAATGAAATAGAAAATAGTGGTAGAATTTAAGGAACCTCAGGTAAACTACCGAACATATCAGTGCTCTTGAATTCAAGGAATCTTAGGTAGACCAGTAAATCGATCAGTGCCAGCTCTGATCTGACTGCTCAGTAACCATTCAGAAGAACTTATTCTGTCATTGTCATTCAACCATTCAACATAAATGTTCGCTGATGAATATTGACAAGCATTTTGAGAATGTCAAAAAGAAAAATATTTGCTGAATGTGTAACTCGCAAATAACTCAGCGTCAAATTGCCCACAACAAAAAAACGATGATCACTGAAAATCAATGAAATTTAATTGAGCATGCAATCACAAAATCCATCAAGTGCAGTTTTCGTTGCTGTAATCAAATAATTATATTCCTTTCCATCATCCACATTCGCTGATTCGTTCAGTTTAAATCTGAACAGAGCAAACCCATCAGATGACTCACTCAACTAATGTAATTGCTGCTCACGAATGCAGTAGTTTCTTATCACTTCAGCTGACGAACTAAGATAAATCGAAGCAGTAAACGAACCGAGAACAACGGAACAAAAATGAAAGAACATCTCCGGTAGCGAGCGACAGCCAGATGATTGCACGCAACCGAAAGATAAATAGCAAAACAACGAGTGATTGATTGCCTCAATTCATCGCTTTCTTTACAACAGATACCATCCAAACTCAAAATCTCATTGCAATTGTGCAATAGCAGCGATAAGAAAGTTGTTTTCGTCGTTTCATTTCACTGTTTTTCTTCGCTCTTTTTTTCGTAAAACATTCGAAAATGAATCATTTTTGCTGAAAATCAATTATTGGAACGTGCAAAATTTGAACGCTCGAGCAATTTCATCACATCACCTGCAGTTGTTTGTTGCTGTATTCCATGCATGCATGCATGCCCACAGAATGGCCACGTCCTTGTCGCAATTCGCAATCGGCCATCATTCAATGATATTCACATTGTTGAACAGGAATAAACAGTGTAATTGAGCAAATCTAAACCAATCTTTTACTTCAACAGTCTCTTAGTGTTTTTTTTTCTATCGTACATAAAGTCTCATCTGGCACCAGATTTCATCAGAAAAGTGAATTTTTATCGTTCTGCTCGAAATTCTAGTTTCTTTCGACACACACTCATAGCTATTAGTCAGTCAGCGCTCAACACTTCCTCATATCATTTCAGACATTTGTGTATTATTCGAAAAAATTTCAAGAATCCATCCAGTTTGTATCTGCGATCTTGCAACTCATCTGATAATCTTATTCATTATATCTTATCATTTCTTATGCAGTATTGTTCTTACTGGATCGTAATAAAAATAAATGTCTCGGTCAGTGTTGTTATCTTAAGTTGCAATATATTGCTAAATGTATTTTGTCATTAGCATTATTGCTATGCAATCGCCATCGGTAATCTTATTCTTTTTGGATCTTGATGATAATTTTACATAATAGCAGTGCCGTTACATTTACTGTTATCATTATTATCAGTATTATTACTGCATTTTACAGGGAAGTATATGTACTATTAGACGAATCATCGTTGCAGTTAGTTTCCAGCTTAAAATCGATGAAGAAAGCTTTGTGATACGTGCAATTACTGCATTTTCTGTTGCTTGCTTGAAACGCCAACCAACCGAAACACTGCTAAGCATAAAACAATATCAGACAGCAATTTGTTTTTTGTTTTCATTCACCTCTTATGCTAGCCCACAAGCACATTCGAAAATATTTCATTCGTAATGTAATACGACGCATATCCGTTCCATATCGCGTGCACTGTCCTCACATTATTAAGAACTAAATGATCTGAATGAGCAAATTATTCTGATCATGGATTAATGAGATTTTGCCATCATCCCTCCCGTATTATCACTGTTATCACTCTACCTATTCAACAATTGTGAATCAAACGAAATAATTTCCGAATTTTTCGAATGATCCACTAGAATTTTTTAGTATTTCAACTACTTTATCATATTTCATCGAAAAGTATGATATAGTTTGGTTATTTGAAATTATTGAGTATCACCAGCTGTCAGTGATCATCTGGTTGTGATTCTCGCTTGCGCACTCATTCTTTCATCCATTCTACGGTCGCACTCGCTGTTGATTGATCATCGATTTCGAGAAAATTGCTATCATATCACTCAGATCACGAAAAGTTTAGTTTTGTAATCACCTTTCAGCAGTCCCAACCGTTCGCTGACACAATAACAATGGAGTTGGAATGTTGTTGTTGTTGGTCGTGCTACATTCTTCTCCTGATACCGCTTTATTACCTCATCAAATATTTCTACGAATTGCCCAAAGTTCGCGATCTCAGTAGCAAGGCCGTCCTTATCACTGGATGTGATTCTGGTTTGGGTAGAATGCTTGCGCTGAAATGTGCCGAAAAGGGAATGACCGTATTCGCCGGATGTACCACCAAAGAGGTTCGCCTTTCAATATTACATTGATGAGCGTTTCTTTAAACATCCATCTCTTCTTCCCTGATGACACATGCATGAGTACAATCGTCAATGAACACTACTCTGTAATAAGAGATCTGTCTTGTCAACACATAATAACTAATGAAGTATCTTCATGCTTCATTACAATTAATACGTAATAAATAATCATAAAGCATTTTTTGCAAAATTTTTCGATCATTCAATTCTTATATGATTCATATTCAATACATATTGAACAACAATATCTTCATACTCTTTTCACATTAATGGTTTCCTGAAAGTATGATCAAATACTTTATTAATATTTTGGTGCTTCAGTAACAGCAAAAAATTAATAAAGTATTTCGCTGATATCTTAAGAAGGGGATTGAAAGCAGACAACGAACATATCGATATTAATGTAATAACTGCAAATGTTATCATTCAATAATTTCATATCTTAAAAATGATACCTTATCGTGTCTCAAAAAGCGAATCATTGATAACTAATATTCACAAAATTTAGCCAAATTACTTGTTTGCTTTCTCGGCCAATTACGACAGGGAAGCAATCCGACGTTTTGATCTGACAACTGAAATGTGAAAAGTTATTACGAATCATTTATCCCCTAAATATTTGTGGTATATTTTTGAGTAA